TAATTTGCTTAATCAAAATAATTATCAAAGAATGACATGTGATGAATTAGATAGATATCTAAATTCTCCAGTAGATATTGGTACCAATCCTTTAATTTGGTGAAAAGTTCATGAAAAAGATTATCTTATATTGTCTCAAATGGCTAAGGATTATTTATTGATTCAAGCAACGTCAGTTCCATCAGAAAGAGCCTTTTCAATTTCAGGCTTAACTATCTCAAAAGTTAGAAACAGATTAAATCCTGAAACAGTAAGAGCAATTATTTGTATGAAGCATTAGATTTCAGAAAAAAGGATTGTAGAAAATATATAAATTTATATTAAAATTGTGGGTATGGATAATAAGGCAAAATTATTTCGGTCAAAAGCTTGATAGAAATAACGTTTCGGTAATAATAAAAAAATTTTTTTTTGTATAATTTGACTTTTTTTTCAGTTTATTTGTATTATAATAAAATTTTTGTATTGGGAATTTTGAGTATTGCATAATTTTTTATAGTTTCGTCAAAGATTTTTACAATAACCTGTATATAAAAACTCCAGTCTAAATTTCGGTCTAGACTTCAGTTTCAAATCGGTCTACAAACCGATCCAGTTTGATTTTATCCTCAAATTGATAAAAATCAAACCAAAATCCCATCTCTTTTTTTTATGTTCCGTATAACTTATGCACCAAAAAACATGTCTGATCCACTTTCAATTTTAAAAGGAGAAATAAAGCGCTTCAGCTTCGTTTCAAATGAAAAAATAAGTTTACTCGCTCACTTTACCAAAAATTTAGAAAAAATTGCTGTTGCAGTATCTTGCCTTGATGACTGTGATAATGATGAAAAAAAGTGTAATTATTTGAGATCTCTAATCTCTACACCTGGTACGTTCTCGAAACATAAGATAATGTTGCTTAAATTCTTGTTTTGAAGCGTCATATTCGCCAACAATACCGAATACTTACTTATTCTTGTGCTTTTTTTTCCTTATCGCCAAACCTGCCCAAAAAAACACATTCGCATTATCTAGAGCAACCTATTGCTGGTAAATGGATCGTAATAAATTAGTCAACGCGAGTGAAGTGATTCTGTGATTTTTATTTCACAATATTATCGAATATTACCGCTTTTCTCATTTCCTAACCAGTTAAACTTTTTTGACTAGAACAAGGTGATTTTTCTAATTTAGATTCTCTGAAGAATATTGTAGAGGAAATCGTCAGAAATGAAGTAAGTGATCTTGATTTCAAAATGGAGCAGGGGTTTAATAAAGTACGCCGTGCTATAGAGGCATCAATCTATTCACCAGGTATGTTATTCATCTGATCTATCAATAATTTCTGCAAATGCCATTAATGACTTATGTTTAGGTACTGATTTAACGAGAACTGACAAGGGTAAATCTGTTATGGAAAAAGGAGCACATATTGAATTTCCATTCGAATTGACCACGAGTAGCAAAAAAAGTGAAAATGGAAGATTTACAAATCCGCCTAATAGAAATGCAGATTCAGCAGAGAAAGAAATACAACAATACTTTATTAATGAATGCAAGGAACTAGAAAAATCTCCAAATATAAAAAACAAGCTTATTGTTGTAAATAAACATTCCTCGCTATTACTAGGAACTCGAAAACCAGATTTCCTATTCATTCCAAAAGGTTCACATTTAAATATGTTAAATGTTGTTGCCATTGGTGAGATAAAAAAGTGAGGCAGTGATAATTTTAACAACGCACAAATAGGACGGACAATATCATTCGGCGAAAAAGTATTCCAACTTCAGCCACGTCGAAACTTTGTATATGTAGTATTAACAGACTGTATTGTAATTATTATCTATGTAGTGTATAGGGTAGATAAAAATACTCATTCAAATCTAACTACTCAGTTCACGTATCAATATACAACACCTGCGCTTTTAGGATACGATGGTACTCGCAATGCTGTTAATACTGGATAGAGATCACTGGTAATAATTATGGAAAGCACTCCGAACAGCTTGGGATGGGTCGAACCATCACTGAAATTTGGCACTGAAACTGTAAAGCTGGTTCGATCCATTGGTGTTGATAGAACTAGTGTTGTTTATGAAGGAAAGCACAATGATGTAGTTGTAGCTGTAAAAATGGCGAGAAAGGCAAATTATCTTTCTTGTTTTGAACAAGAAAATACCGCATTGAATGAACTGTCAGATCTTAATTCCCTTCATATTCCAAGGATCCTTTTTAACAGTACGGATGCTCTTGTTATATCTCAAGTTGGTGAGAGAATTGGTAATTTGCGAAAAAAAGATATTAAGGATATTATCAGCACACTCAAAAAAGTATATTCACTTAATTATGTACACAGAGATCTTCGTAAGTATAATCTTATTCGTGATCAATGTGGAAATATAGTTATTATCGATTGGGGTTTAGTATAAAAAAATTGGATGAGAATTAAGACTTCAAATTTGCGGGAGCGTTAGAGTGTATGCCGAATAGCATCTTGCAATCAATTGTCGATGAGAAAAATATTGTTTATGAACCAGAAGTTGATTTGACATGTTTGGTGCGTTCATTCTATTTGATGCTCTATAGACCACCATTGGATAGAATTGCCTTTGATGAAAATGATAATATCAAGAGTCGAGCACAGATGATGTTAAATTTCTGGATGAGTTGTAGACATTCAGATGTATGGGATGGCATTTATAACGCAATAGAAAGCTTAGACTACGATCTATTAATTCAACAGCTTGAAAGATTGTTTTAGATTACTAGTCTTGGATGATTTAGATTTTATTGCTAATTGCTATATATCTTCTAATTTCTAATAGCTTGATATAACCAAAAATTTAATGTAATATTGCTCATTATTTTCCATCACATATATCAATAAAAATTAATAAAACATTTGTTCATATCAATTTTACATATATAATACATCGTATAAATAAATTTTCTTGACTGCACGGGTTTACTGCGCTGAATGCTGAATCTTAGATCATGCCGTGTCTAGGCTCAGAAATAAATTTAATGCTTTTCATTATTCCCTTGTCTTAATCTTAGAAAATATTTCGCTAAAACAATCAGATTATATCCCGCAGAAGTTATACTTCAAGGAACCGCAGAAAGATATCAGAAAAATTCTTGCTGAAGAATAGGGGCTGTGCGACATGTATATCTCGCATTATTTTTTTCAAGTTGATTTGCGTTTATTTCATGTTATGCCTTTAGTATCATACTAACAAAACAATATTCGGATATAAATATTTTTTCCAGCAATCATTATTTCGCATATGGGATTTGGGATGTATATACTAATCATGAAGTCATTCTGGGAGTTGTCTTCTGATACCACTCAAATTTCAGTAATTAAGGAAAAGAAAGGTCTCCAAAGAGAATCTATGCAAGAAGATAGAAGTATCCAAATTTTTTTTTGATCTGTATTTTAAGATCGCCAATGCTGAAGAGCGAAATAAAAAGGCACATCATGAACTCATTATAGCTTATTACCACTATGGAAAGGAATTTGAGAAACGCCTTGTCCATTATAGAGAAGGATACGAAGAACATGAAGCCCTAAAGAAGCTTTATGATGAGGTTAAAGATCAGCTTCCCAAAGAGGTTACCAAAAACGCTATCCGGAAGAAATCGAACAGGGTAAGGAAGGTCTATGATCTTTTTTTCTGTATTACCAATGATAAAATTCAACGGATGGTATTCATCTAACAAATAAAATCATTTTCAGCAACATCTATTTCAAATCTAAGTGATGATAATATTAGATATGTAGCGTCTCAGGTTAAAAAGAACACATGAACTTAACAATCACTGGACAAATCCAATTACATCAATTTTCTAATTGTAAAAAATCTTATGTAACGTTATTCAAAAAACTTCACACATACGGTACTTGCTTAAAATGATACAAGTGTTACAATTAAACTATTGAAAATCAATTTTTGACTTCTATTTTAAGGGTTAGTTCAATTTTTTTTTATATTAATTATTAAAAAAATAGAAATTCAAATATATCCAACTTCATTCATTATTTTGGTCTTTTACCTAAGATCCTCTTTAATTTCAGGTTGTTGAGTGTTAATAATAACCAAAATATATGTAAAAAAATGGCCTTATTATGTTTAATTTATAAAAATGACTTACATATTAGTTTTTTATTTTTATTAATAAAAATGCATTAACAAATTATTTAAGACATTACAAAAAAGATTTTTATTATCTTCAAATAACTCAAAAGAAAAAATATCATCTATATATTATTTTTTTGTCTATTATTATTCCAATACCTCTTAATATGCTGAATATTCCATTTTTGTGATAATTTATTCAAAACCTCATTAATTTCATTTTCTGTAGATATTGTTTCCTTTTGTAATAAGCAACTTAGAATTTCTTTTTTTTCTTCAGTTATTATAACTCTTTAATGTTTTATTTGAGACCCATTTCCATCATTTTCTTGGTTATTTAATTCAATACTTTTATCTTTAATTAATCAAAAATCTTGCTCATTAAATGAAATGGATAATATCTTACCTAATCGAGAATTACCTTCTTTATTATCTTTCAGTATAGTTCTTTTTTTTGATTTTTTGTTTTGATAAATCAGTAATTTTAGTTTTCATTACTGACAATTTTCTTTTTCCTTTAGTATTAATTGTTTCAATTTTTATTACTTCTTGCCGATAAATTTCTTTAATTCTTTTCATTTCATCTGTATATGCTTGGTTTAATTTTATTAATCCTTCTTGATTTAATTAAGGTAGAGAATTTTTTTTGAAAAGGTCATGATTAATAGAATTATCCATTTCAAATACTTCTAATAAATTATGTACTAACTTTCATAATAAATCAACACGATTATTAGTATTATGATCTTTCAATAATATGTGTGAATATCCAGAAATTCATTTAATAATGTATCTATTCGTTTTCTTTCTTCTTGTGTTGCTTTAATTTGTAATTCTAAATTTTCTTGATTATATGAATTTCCAGTAATATTTTGTTTAATATAAGCAACACCATAAGTTTCTAAGGCTTTATTATAAGCAAAATAATGTCTTTTTCTTGTTAAATTTATAGAAGCACAATGGTAAAGTTTTTGTTCTAATTGTGAATATTTTTCTAAACTAGCAAGAAAATATGTAACAGACATAGCATAATTACTTTTACCTGCTGCAGGAAAAAGTGGAGCAAAAGCTGCTAATCCAAATTTTTTCATTTCATAATTTCTACAACATATTCCAGTAAGATGAGTTTTTCATATTGCAAACCATTCATAATATAAGTACCATACTCTTAAACAAATTTTTCATTTTCAAGATAAAATACTATTTCTTTAATTTTAATATTTCTTTTTTGTATATATATATAAATAGCTATTCCAACTGCTATCAAATTAGCTCTAGAACTCTTCTTATAGATCGGTAATCAATAACAGCCGCAAATTTATCCAAAAACTTTACACCTAAAGCTGTAGCCAAATCATATATACTATAACTTGAAAATAAAGTAATTAATGCACTTATCATATCCTTTGAGGTATGTTATTGATCAAGAATAGGTCGTATATTTTCTGATTTATTGCGACATTTAATTAACCTTTTAAATATTGCTTCATCTACACAAATATCTAGAAAATCTTCTTCATCTAATAAAAAATCTTTTTTATATATTTCTGTAGCACATAAATTTCATTATCATTATTTGGTGATCCACTTGGTTTTAGTATAACTACATTCAGAGGTGAAAGGTTACAACCATATTTTACTTGCTTTAATATTTCTAAATCTATTGTTATAAGGTTAAAGTCTTTATTATATTCTTATTCTTGTTTTTCATTAAACCTAAATGCTAGCAAATTTTCAAATATTTTATTTAATTTGCAGATTATGTTGTACATTACTTCAAATTTTCTAAAGATTTATATATCAATATTTAATTTTCATATTAGTTCAGGTTTTTCACTAATAAATTCAGGTAACAAAAATTGAAATGCCATTCTTAATGTAGCATGTGATATACCTCGAGTTATATCATATATATTTCCAAATTGAAAACTTCTTTCCTTGAAATCAATATTATCAATTACAACTAAGTTAAAGGTAGTTGCTTCATTTAATAAACGTTTAGATAGATTAGCATTTTTCATTTGTATTTTTCTAATCTTCATTTGTATCTATTCGTATGCCCAAAAATAAAACATTTGGTCAAAAGATCTTGCAGTAAGGATAACAATTTTGGTCATCAGCACAATGATGCAAGTACATTTGGTAGCTATAAATTTAAGTATGAAAATATAAAATTGGTTAAAGCTGAAATTATTAAAGATAGAAGATGATTAATTTTTGGGAATCAAATTCTTTTAATGATTTCTTTTTTAAATATCAATTTCAATTGGATTCTATGGTTTTATTTTCTAATATTGATATAAGCATTGATTTCAAAAAAGTTGTTAAAGATCTAGAAAATGCATTAATATAATTATTAAGACTTTCAGGATTTTACAAGTCATTTATATTTCTTTTAAGGTATTTATATGACTTCTATAATTCTTGTTCCATTTTTTGACTAATTTCTTTGTATTTTTGCTTATCTAATTCTTCTTGAAGATGAATAAGAATTCGATTTGTTTTCATTATGGTTTTTAATATAAAATAACTTAGAATATTACGATCAAAATAGTTTACTATAGGATTCAAATTATTATCTGCGTTATTTGCATTGGTTTAATTTTGTAAATTTAAAAATGGGATAATTTGAGGCAAAATGACTATAAGTATATTTTTTTAATATTTGGAATTTCTATTTTTTGCAATATTTGATAGCCATTGTGACAATATTTTTAAAATATTTTCATTATCCTTTTGATGATATCCTTTTTCTTAATATGATGACATTCCCTGTCCTTTTCCTAGTTTAATATGAAGATATCTTTCTTTACGTTCATAACAATCACAACATACATATCGAGAATGTTTAATTTATTAAAATTACGTTCACATACAGAATTACATAATTTTAATGCACTACAATTATATTGACCATTACAAACTACTTGAATATTTTTTTCAAATATTTTCCATGAATGCTTTTCACATCCTAAATCCTGTGTAAAAAAATAATAATTTTTTTTACAAAATAAATATCTTTACGATAAAGTATACTTTAACTTGTACTTTTCATTTGTTTAAAACCTGGATCATGAAGATTTTTTTGATCATGATTAAAATGATAACTACAAACATCTAACTGTTCTAATATGCTATCTGCTTTAACAATACTTTTTCTGTCTATTTATCATATATCACAAAGCTGCTATAATTTTTGAAACTTTTCAAATTTTCATACCTTTTAATACATCCATCTATTTTATCAACAATGATAGAGTTCTGAATGAGTCGAGTCGAGTCGAGTTTAAAGATCAACTCTATTCAACTCATTTTTTTCGAGTCGAGTCGAGTTAAATTTATTTTATAAAATCTTTCAATTTGATTTGATTCGAGTTATATAAATTTTAAACTCGACTC